AGGAGCAGGGGAAGTGGGAGGGGTAGGGGAAAGGAAAGAAGGGAAAAGAAAAAATATGAGAAAAGGAAAAAAATGGAAGCAAAGTCTTTGCAAATAGGGAAGGGTGGAGGGAGTGAAGGGAGGGCAAGGGAAGGGGGAAAAAAAAAGAACCAAGATACTCATGTAATGGTACAAGATCCCAGTGATGAATGTAACTATATTTTATACCTAAAATGTACCAATAAACTTAATGAGAAAGAAAAAAAAAAAGAATTTGCATGTAGATGTTGGCACAGGGGGTTAAGGGTCTTGGGGCCTGGAATCCATCTGGGACAACCTAGGAAACCAATCAGATTATGGCAAATTCCAGGTAGAGTTGGGGCCTGACACCCAATACAAACAGCCAAGAACAAAGGGCCCTAAAGTCCTTCATCTTTCTGGAGAATCCTACCCTGATTTACTCGGGTAGCTATCTTATCTCCCCCTTTTTCTACCTTTCCAATAAAGTGTCTTTCTTTCCTTAACTTTGTATCTTTAATGCTTTACTGATATGGAGTTTATGAATCCTGGTGAGTTGCCTGCCTGCAGAGGAGCAGTAATGCTCATTTCCTACAGCAGGGGCGCTTGCCCCCAGGACGCAAAAGTGGGAGAATGAATAAATCAATACAGTGTTCCCTCAAGTTATGACTGGCCTGACATGAACAACTTGAATTAATTAGGTTAATGGAAAAATTTATCCGTCTTGTTATCTATAGCGTGTACCCAGGTAAACATCCAGATCTCAGCTGTATTGACTTAAAACCATCTTGAGTTACAGCTAGCGCTCAGGAAATTATCAAGTGATCAATGATCAAGGGTCCACTGTACATATTTACTAGTGTCTTCATCATCATTGTTCATCTCAGTATGTCAACAACCAACTTCACATGTGATATTCCAGTACAATTTCACCAAACCATTATTTCTAATATAGTCATCAAATGTATATGATAATCTCATATACAAAACGTTTTTAAGTATACAGTTGTGTTTTCCATTCTTCTAGGTAAATCATGCCTCCCAGCATGTGAACAACATTCCATCAGAATTCTGATTAGAATTCTTTGGAAAACACAACACATAGGTGCAAATCAAAACTGCTGAAAAGTATGCTAATCATATATAAATATATTCTCATAGGAAAACAAATGATACAGAATATATAGAGTGTTATGGTTTGGGTCTAGATGTCCCCCCAAAGCCTCATGTGGTCATAGTTGGCTTTTTTCAGAGGTGGCTGGATCTAGAGTGTGTGATGCTTAGATTAAGGGCATGTGATTACTGAACCAGTACACAGATTGGTTTGGTGCCACCCTAATCCCCAAAATCAGGATAAGATAAAAGGGGCAGAAAGATGCTGTTAAGGTTCCCTGTTGCTTTGCTACCTTCTATACACCATAAATTGTTTCTCCTTTGCCAAGCTACCCTGCCTTGGAGCTAGCTGATTATGGACTGAAATCTCTACAAACTGTGAGCTAAATAATCCTTTCCTCCTTTACTTTTGAGTGTTGGGTATTGTGTCTCAACAACAAGAAAAGTAACTAAGACATACAGAAAAAAAGGAGAGAATATTACATTTGATTTATTGATGATGTCCATTTTTTCTCGGCTAAGATGGAATCTCAGTATTCTTTAAATTTACATTTCTCTAATAGCAAAAAACATTGAACATTTGATATAATTATTGGCCATTTGTACTTCTGTGAAGTGTCTATTCATTTCACTTGCCCATAGTTTGATTGGATCTTTTACTTTGGGGAGTCTAATTTTTTGAGTTTTTCAAAATTCTAGATATTAGCCCTTTGTCTCAAAAGTAGCTGGCAACTTTTTTTTCCTGCTTTGTAGGTTGTCTCTTCACTCTCTTGGTTGTTTCCTTTGCGGTGTAGAAGCTTTAAAATTTGATATGATCCCTTGGGCCTGGCATTTAGCTGAGTGGTCTTGCTGCCTGCTGCGCAAGCGCAAGGACCTGAGTTCGATCCCTGGTACCAAAAAAAAAAAAATTGATATGATCCCATTTATTGAGTCTAGGCACTATTTCCTGTGCAATCAGAGTTCTGGTCAGAAAGTCCTTTCCTATGTTTATGACTTCAAGAGGTTTACCTATTTTATTTTCAGCAAGTTAAGTGTTCTAGTTTAACCATTCAGTTATTTGATCCATTTTGATTTTAGGTTAGTGGATGGTGAGAGAAATGAGTCTAGATTCAGTCTTCTGCATGTGGACAGCCAGTTTTCCCAGCACCATTTATTAAAGAGTGTATCTTTCCTCTAGTATATGTTTTTGTCTCCTTTGTCAAAGCTCAAAAAGTTGAATATGCTTGGAGTTGTTTCTACATTCTCTATTCTGTTCCATTGATCCTTGTGTCTTCTTTTGTGCCAGTATCGTGCCCTGTAATATAAAACGGATGTATCAGTACTATTTCTAACTCAAGTGTGCTTCAGGGGTAGTTCACAATTTCCATAGTCTCTTTTTGCTCTCTTCTTCCATTGAAAATCCGTGTAGAGATGATTTAATTGTTTTTGAGGGAAAATTTGGGCTAAGTCTTGGAGTTAAAGGCATCAAAGACACACACCTATAAATTAGCACTGGGATGCAACCAGTAAAGGGCACCATAGAATTCTCATGACTCAACGGCCCTTCACCTGCTTTAACTACTAACAACTGTCTACTGCCCTGAGGATTCAGTGTTGGAAAAGACTGAAAAAAGAACATTTTCTGCATGAAATTAACAGTAAACCAAAATTACCCTGCTTTAGCCAGAGTCAACACTTGCACACATTTAGGGCAAAGGAGCATAAGCATTCATTTGGCTGGACAGAAAGCTTATAGGAGGAGTATAGGAGAGCAGCTCAGATTTGCCTTGAAGAAGTGTGTGGGTAGTGGTCATCTTTCCTGACACAGTGGGTTGGGAGCCAGGACTGAGGTCCCACCTGGCACCTGACACCTGGCCTTTGGGCAGTAAAGAAAGAGGACTGTATGTCTCCCTGCATGTCCTGACACAGGAAGGCCTTCTTTCTTGGGTAACTGTGGGGACAGCAAAATGACTGAATGAATTCCCATTTGGAATGGAGAAACGATCAGTGTGGTATTACCGAATAGTTTCTCTAGTGTGAGAAACTGAAAGTGTAAATAAGGATTAAAATGATTAAAAGGAATAATTGATCATTTGAAATAGGAAAAGGTCCAAAGGTGTACGGGTGGTGGGAAGGGAAGGGGAAAGGAAAAGAAGGGAAAGGAAAAATTATGAGAGAAAAAAAAGGAAACTAAATCTATGTAAATAGGGAAGGGTGGAGGGGGTGAAGGGCACACAGGTAATGGGGGAAAAAATAAGAACTAAGATACATCATGTACAGGTACAAGCACCTGATGATAAGTGTAAACGTGTTGTATACCTAAAATATACCAATAAAAGAATTAAAAAAAAAAAAAAAACGACACCTGGAGCAGACCAGTGGTTGGTTTCCTAGGGCTAGAGGTCTAGGTCAGCCTTCCTCTGAAAGAGGAGCAGGCACAGGCACAAGGTGCGCCCACTTCAGTTCCCTTAGGAGCAGAAGGGCCTTCCTCACCTTTCTAGAGAGGAGGCTGGAGAAGCAGTGAAAGACAAACATGGAAGAACCTTCTCCTCTGTGTGTTGCGCAGTTATCGCCTCTCCCCCTCCCCCCCCCCCCCCCCCGCCAGGCCTGCAGTCCTTGGCAACCCCCCTTCCCACTAGCGCCCAGAATGGAGGGGGTGTGGAGAGGAGGGGCCAGGCACTGGGCAGACTTCACTGCAGCTCACAGAGGGACGCTTTGGTATCCATCCGCTGCTGCCTCCAGCTCTGCTGCTGCCAACCTCCCGACGTTGCTGTCCCCCTCCCCGCGCAGCCCCGCAGCCCAGAGCCGCCCGCCAGTCCCATACGGTGTAGCAGCGTGGCAGACACCTTAGTGATCGGCACCTTAGGGCGCGCCAGGGACTACTGAGGCAGGCCGGCTCTAAGCCTCGCGTCAGACTGCGGCTGGCCCTGGCCCCGCCCACTTCCCTGTCGGAACTAAGGTGGGCCTGGGAGGGGGCGTGGAGCCCTTGCCCGCAGTATTCCTCCGCCCCCCTTCCCGACACCCTCGGGGCGAAGCGAGTGGTTTTTGCTGCAGCGCATCCTGCGCAGCAAGGGCGGGTTTGGTGCGGAGGTTTGGGAGCGGGACGCTCCTTTGCAATTCTGGTCGCGCGGAAAGCGGAAAGCAGAAAGCAGAAAGCGGAAAGCAGAAAGCAGAAAGCAGAAAGCGGTGGGAGCCGAGTGCGGAGCTGCCAGAGGAGAGGAGAGAACAGGTGAGGAGGGCTAGCCCGACATCCTGCGCTCTGAGCCCATAAAGGCAAGTGGGGGTGTGCTGGGGCGCGGGCTGGCCTTCCACCGTGCACCGGCAGCCCGGCAGGGAGGAGGCGAGCCGGCCGTAGCCGGTCCCGGAGAGAGGTGCGCAATATCTCTGGACCCCTGGCGGTGAGGAGGGGGTGAGCGGCGCGGGTCGGCCCTGGGCAGAGGGAGGCCAGAGAGGCTGTGTGGGGTCGTCCTGAGGCCAGCCGCTGGGACTGCTCTCCGGCCCGCTTCCCAGGCGCCCGCGCCCAGCCCTCCACGGTGTCTGCCTGGAGAGGGCCGTGGCGGGGGGTGGGGGGGTGGGGGTGGGGCCGCTGCGGAAGAAATGGCGGCGCTGCAGATGGGGCCGGGGGCATCTGTGTAGGCCGCCGGGAAGACGTGGGGCTGGCGTGCGAACTCCGTGTCCAGCCCGGAGGGCGGAAGGTGAGTCACCTTTGCTGTCAGGCCCTGATTCCAGAACGGGGCCTGTTGGACCCCCGTGTCCAGGGTACTGTCCCTTCCCACAGGCTCCTGTTGATGTCAGAGACTCCTGTCTGCGCTGTAGGTCAGGTGAATTCTTGGGAATATGAGCATCAAAGCCTGGATTATGTGCATACCAAAATGAAATATTCAACTGCTTTTAGTGTAGCACTGTTTTATTGTCTTACATATTTAGGCCTCCAGGCCCAGTTTAGTTCAAGCAAAGGGCGTGGATGAGGAGTTGGTTTTCACAGCAAGGGTCCTGTATAGGAATAGTTCGGTATTAACTGTCTTATTCAGAATCTGTTTTCTTAATAGTGTAGTACAATTTACATATTGTTTTGATGTGTGGGAATGAGCCTCGAAGTATCTTCTTGAGTCATATTAGAACATTTGAAGTCAATCGGTTTTAGTTTCTTTTTCTAGAAACCTGTGCATCTCAGAGCTCTTCTCATCTTTATGCAGAAGCAGTCCCTCCAGAAAATTTCCTGACGTGGCCCATGGTTATCTGGGGAGCCTTGAGAGTTCCTGGAGTTAATTTACATTGTTCCTGACCATCACAAAGGTTTCTGAACTTTGATTCTGGAATCCTATACATTAACCTGATATTTTCCTAGCATTGTCAACCTATTTTCTTGATGTTTTGCTGAATGTCTTTCTGTAGGTGGTGACTTTTCTCCAGCCTCAGGATTCTTTTTGGTTGGAAAGATAGCATCTCCTGAGAACCCCTGCTTTCTGAGCATTGACAGTAACTGAGGTATGATCTAAGTACACATGGGGAAGGAGACCATGCAAAGATGATATTGAAATAAAAGTGCCTGTTAAGTTTACTACCTCCTTTCTAAATATAGTTGCTTATTCCCTATTCCTGCACTTTATGTATTTGTCCAAGGAAAGAGGCATAAAGTCTGCTGGGAAAATGGGTGACTTCAGAATTGGGAGGAGGTATAATCATACAGAGTGTAGGTCTTAGAGGGGATGGTTGGGGAATCATTGGGGAGGAACAGACAGTTGAGAGACATTTCACATATCCTTGAATATACAAAAACACATTTTATAACCCCTGTCAAGCATGTTGAGCCATCTTAGTCTCTTCTGCATTTTTTTCTCTGCTTTTCTTCTCTGTTCTAGCTTCCTACAAAGATCTTCAGGTAGCTGTTCACTTGCAAGTTAATTAAGAAACAGAACGAAAGTTGTTCATTTGGATTCAAGGTGGGTATGAGTATGAACATGAGCACCTGTGTTAATTAGGGATAGGATAACTTCATGAGTGGGTGAGACCAGATCGTATCTTGGAGTCATTATCTTCCAATTTTCCAAACACCTCTGCTTTCTCATTTGTGTATTGTTAATGGGGTCAAAGTAAGCCAGAATGATAGGTAATTCATAAATATAAAGCAGGAAATGCAGAAGAAGCTATGGGGAATACTAAGGCGACCAGAAAAGTGTCACAAAACCAATACTCTAGGTTTGTTAAGGTAGGTGTTGCAAAAGCAGAGTGCAAATCAGTGTGTCACTCAGAATTCTAATCCTATGTATATTTTTGTCCATAGGTCAAGCTGAAGGTCTTAGCAACACTAGAAGTGAGGAGGGAGGAGAAAATTGTATCAGATCAGTGTAGGCTGATATAGAGCCTGTCTGGATAGACTTGCTGAATCTAGTGGTGGGTACCAGTTTGAATCCAAAGGGACTGGGTGCTCTTTATGTTCTCCCACTCTAGTAAGATTATCTGCTAACCCTGTTGTGTTGATACAGAGAAAAGAATGGTAGTACCTAGGTAGGATATGTTGGACATTAGTGGGAATGTGCAAGGGATAAAATGAGATAGCTGAATTTTCTACTAATTGATTTCTAATGTACAAGCCATCTCTATTTGTATGTCCTTCTTTGTGGATGTCTACATAAATAAGCAAAGTTGGAGGAGACTCAAAACCCATTTCTTTCTTTCACTTTAGGTCTGTGTCCATTAGTAACTGTGGTGGCCTTGAATTGGTAGAAGATCATTACCTTCAACAGGTCTGCACTCAGAAACCATCATCTTCCTGCAGTCTGATTGTGCCTCTACTCGGGCCATATCATTGACAAAGGTTGTGTTTGGACAGGGGACTCTTTAACTCTTACTACCAAGTTCATCTCTAACCCTGTAAAAAAGTATAAAGACACTGATTAGACTGGACAAGACTATATAACTGAGCTTTAACCATGACTAGAACAAAGAGTAAGGCTAGAGGTCAGGCCAAAACTGAGAAAAGGGCAAAAGTACCTGTTAAAGCTGGAACAGAGAAGGAGGTTACAGGTGTAGTCAAAGCAGTAGCCAAGACCAGGTCCAAAACAAAAGCCAAAGCAGAGTGTAAAGCAGATGAAGTGACAGAGATGAAGGTAGTATCTAAGAACAAGGTTGCTGCTGAGATGAAGGAACGAGTGCTGTCGGAACCTAAGGCTCCAGTGAAAGCCATAGCCGATGTCAGTTCCAAAGCTGAGAATAAGGTTACCCGCTCCACGGGCAAAGATAAGGCTGCCATTGATACCTGGTTCTGGGCTGGGGAAGAGGCCAGTATTAGTTCCTGGTTCTGGAAGGGAGAAGAGGCTGGTAATCATTCCAGTACCAAAGACAAAAATAAAGCTGATACTGGTGCCCAGGTCTGTGCTGAGAAGTTGGAGTCTGTGGCTGGGGCCAGCTGTAAGTCTGTATCAGGGGTGGATGATGATGAGGAAGAAAATGTTATAGGGAACTGGTTTTGGGAAGGAGATGACACTAGTTTTGACCCTGAGCCCAAACCTGTATACAGGATTGTTAGACCTCAAGCTGTGGATTTAATTAATCAGACAAACAGACCCAAGGACTGGTCTGAGGTTACTATCTGGCCCAATGCCCCTGCTGTAACACCAGCAGTGTTAGGATTTAGATCTCAGATCCCATCTGAGACAAGGTCCTCTTCATATGTTGTTGTTTCCTCAACTGAAGAAAGTACTCATTCTGCAGCAGCAGCAGCCTGCCCTTCCAGGAACGCTTGCTCAAGTTCACAGTCTATTCCTGAGTTCCCATTTGGTTCTGAGCCTTGCATCCAGACCATAGATGAAATTAGGCAACAAATTAAGATCAGGGAGATGAATGGGATTAAGCCATTTGCTTGCCCTTGCAAAATGGAATGCTACTTGGATTCTGAGGAATTTGAAAAACTTGTCAGCATACTGAAGTCAACCACTGATCCTCTCATTCATAAAATAGCACAGATTGCAATGGGTATCCATAATGTTCATCCATTTGCCCAAGAATTCATTAATGAAGTGGGTGTAGTGACACTTATTGAAAGCTTGCTTACTTTTCCTTCCCCTGAAAGGAGGAAAAAGGCTGTAATTACTCTGAATCCTCTTTCTGGGGATGAAAGACAACAAAAGATTGAATTACATGTTAAGCATATGTGTAAGGAAACTGTGTCTTTCCCCTTAAACTCACCTGGACAGCAGACTGGATTAAAGATACTTGGGCAACTGACTACCGAATCTGTCCATCACTATATTGTGGCTAGTTACTTTTCAGAGCTTTTCCATTTGCTGTCTGAGGGGAATCGTAAAACCAGAAATCTTGTTTTGAAAGTACTTTTGAATATGTCTGAAAATCCAACTGCAGCCAGAGACCTGGTCAATATGAAGGCATTGGCAGCATTAAAACTCATCTTTAACCAGAAAGAGGCAAAAGCCAATCTTGTTAGTGCCGTGGCCATATTTGTTAACATAAAGGAGCATATAAGAAAGGGCTCAATTGTAGTCGTTGATCACTTGAGCTATAATACACTTATGGCCATTTTCCGTGAAGTTAAAGAGATTATTGAAACAATGTAAAATCACCCAGAAATGAAAGAGAACACTGAATCATCTCCAGATTCTGAAAGGCTGTACATTTCCAAAGACCCTTGTGTAATTTTTATTATAGTGCACACGTGATATATTACATCTTCAACAGTGTTACCTGTGAGGCTGTAGCTCTGAGCTAGAACATTTTTTTGTGTGTATCAAATGAATGCTAGCATCTGAAAATATTCTTTGATTTTTATGTTGTCTAGATTGGCATATTTAAAATTTTACTTAGAGTAAGCCATTTCATTATAAATAAGCTTAACTGCATCATTAGTATCTGCTTAGATTCATTTGTAGCTTCAAATGGCAAAAAAGAAAATGTTGGGGCCAGAGATTTAGCTCAGTGGCGCCGTGCCTGCCTCGCAAGCGCAAGGTCCTGAGTTCAATCCCCGGTACCGGGAAAAAAAAAAAAAAAAACGAAAATGTTGAATTTGTAATCAACTTACAGAAATAAGGTATGGACACATAAATAATAGTACCTATAGGTGTATATGTGGTATGTGTATGTGTACCCTACCAGTACATTTAGTAGATTTAGGTTATACCAGTACATTTAGTAGACTTAGGTTATCATAAGGGGTTTCTATTTTTCCCCTGTTCTAGATACATCAGAACTCATTCAAAACAGAAATAACTGAATCTTAGACAAAATGTGATGTTTGCTTACTCTTAAAATTTTGTTATTTCATTTACAACTCAAATTGTTAGGCAGTTTCATTGTGTCAGAGTTATTTTACAGATGAAAAGGGTGTTCTGCATGGGGAGAAGACATTTATTGAGTTTTTCATGAAACACTGTGTTGGCACTGTGTTTTGAAAATTTTTTCCTCTTACAGTGATTGTGAATGAGCTATGAATATTTTTTATTAGAACTCAGTATTCTGGGCATCCTTTAAGGAGAATTACAATGGTTAAATAACCTTTTTCTACACCCTCATAACAGGCAGTTGACATAGCTGTTTTCTCTGACACCAACCCCCATCTCTCGACACTACCTTATGGTCCTTCAGTTTTTTAGGTAGTGGCATTCATAGCTTAGAGAGCATTTTTTTTTTTTTTTTGGTAGCAGGGATTGAACTCGGGTCCTTGCGCTTGCAGGGCAGGCAGCGGAACCACTGAGCAAAATCCCCGAAGCCTAGCATTTGTTTTTAATGGTTTAATTTTGTGGTAGATGATGTCTCTGCGAGGTGTTACAACTCTTAACTTCCTCCACATGCACATGTCCATTAGACATTTGGCTATAGTAGACTGAAGATCAGGAGAAAAGTCTGAGATGGATGTACGTATTTTGCCTGGCAGTATCTGGGAAATACTAGGTATCAAAAACTTTGTTGAACAAACAAGATGTAGATGTGAATCATATAAGGAAGT